CCTCCTTTTCGTGTTTGTAACTCTCTTGTATCATAGCACCTCTAATCTTCAACACTTTATGACCCAATAATTGTGCTGGAAGCGCCGTAAAATTGTTGCTAAAATAAACATACAAACAAACCAACAAACAAACAAACCAACAAACAAACAAACAGACAAACAGACAAACAGACAAACAAACAAACAAACAAACACAATCCCCCCATCTGCGCCCCACTGACCATCTCGTCCGTCTTGACCAGGTTGTTGACGTAGAGCAGGTTTGTCCACCAGGTGTCCTCACACTCGTCCTTCTCCACGCCCCCCTGTGGCCACACGGGGCCGTCTCCGATATACTTGTACAGAGGGACGTACGTCATCAACACTAGCATGTAGGGCGGGGTGAGTCTGGGGGAAATAAAACAAAAACAAAACAAACAAAACAACACGTCATAATGTTTTTTTTAGAAGCCAACACAAAATACAAAAAACCCCACAACAATGAAACATGTAATAACATTCTCTGGGACTTTGTCAAGACGGGGAGAGTTACTGAGAAGCGAAGATCTAATATAATAATTGTATCATTGTGAGGCCGCGTAGTGAATCCAGGTGCTCGTCAAAATAACCAAAGTGAAGAAACTGACATTTTTCCTCAAGTTGGTGAATTTTTATCGAATTTTGGTTTTTTTGGCTCAACGCCTTCGATTAAAGAACACATTTCCGTGTAAATTTTTACTGAAAACCGTTGCTTAAATGCTCAAAAAAGTAGATTTTCAGTTTCTACTGACTCTCAAACTAAGGAAATAACTAATCTTTGACGGCCATTTTCTCGCTAATTCTACCCCTGGAACCAGGTGACCACCACCTCCTTCATTCGCCAATATCTTGACTTGTATTCAAGATGAATGGATATTTTTTCTATCCCAAGCAAGACAAAATAACAAGCTTTAAGATGATACCAATAACTCTACATGTCCCCAAATTGACGAGAGTCTGATTCCACCGAGTCATGATACACAGACTCAATAATAATATAATCACCACTGACCTCCAGAAGCGATGGAAGTAAAACTTGGGGAAAAACCCGATGCTCAGACGTCCCTTCTGTAGTTCTTTCATGACCAGATACGTCATCAGAAGACCACTGAAGCACAAAATATACATGCATTTCCCAAGGGTATAAGATCTTTCTTCTATACTAGGGTTACTCTTCCTAGCAAATACATGTGTATATCATACATACAAACACATTCTTTCTTTGCATGAGTCTATTTCTGTTTCTATGTTTGTCTGTCTGTCTGTCTGTCTGTCTGTCTGTCTGTCTGTCTGTCTGTCTGTCTGT